CCATACAGTACTCTAATGATTCATAATCAACAACTTAAAAAGGAAGGAAAACCATTTTCTGACCCTAAATGATAGAGGAAATTAATGGGAAAATCAAACTACCACATAGTAACTCGGCTTGCCATTATGTATTTAGTTAGCCTATAAGTTAATTTACATCTTCCCCCATGGTCCAGCATTGGTAAGCTTTGGAATAAATATTATGTTACTTCAATGTAGCTCCTAGACAATGTATTTTATATCAGAACTATGGGAGTAGAAATATTTAATGTTTTTCTGATATAGATTAGGCAAATTTCAAGATTGATCGAAGATCCATTACTATATATTGTGTCTTGTTGGTGACAATTTGGTCTCATGTAAGAGTAAGAAACAAAATGTAGTGTCACAGTTCAGTGTTGAACTTGAGTGATGGCACAAGCTTCGAGTGAATTGATGTGGGTTTCCCAGCTCTTGACAAAAATAGGTTTTAAGATGATAGTTTTAGCAAAGTTGTAATGTGATAACCAAGTTGAAACTCACTTTGCATCAAATCCTATCTTCCATAAATAAACTAAGCACATTGAGATAAAATTTCATTTTATTCACGAAAAGATTCAATAAAATCTAATTTCTACAACTGATGTGAAGGCTAGGGAACAACTATTGGATGTCCCCAAGCTGGGCATGATAAAAATTATTGCTCTAGCTTGAGGAAGAGTGTTATGAAAAGTAATAAATATGAAACTTGTATATTATAAAAATTGATATTAAACAACCTAATTAGTGGAGATCTAATTACAAGATCTTTTGATATTAGAGTTATTCCTAATCTAGATAGTTGGGAGTATATATAAATATAAAATATATATTTTCAATTGGGAATAAGAAGTTTTTCACTTCACAAAAGAAAACAGATAGTCAAATTTCATTTTAGAGGAACTAAAGATGAGTTATATTAAATACATAAAACAAGGGGCTTGTAATAGATTAAGTAGCTAACTTATGCGTCTGAGTATTCTTTGATCACTCGTTTATGAGCTAAAAAAAATAGACTTCATATTTGGTCTTTAAGTAGGAAAATGATCTCCTATTGACTGCATCAAGCTTTAAAAACTTGGCTGAATTAGTGGGAAGTGAACTCAAGTGGGGTTATATTTCTAGCCCAAATTTGATTCCTTTTGGGCTCCATCACAATGAATTATGATCTTAAGATAATAAAGATGAAACTCTATGACATATATGAAAAATGTTTATTTGCTTTGATCGTCACCAAATACACAATTCGCACGAGCAGACAAAAGGTGAATTTTAGTGAACACAATTGAAATCTAACACACATCTCAAGGTCAAAATACTCATGCAAGCTTCCAATCTTTGAGATGATTTTAGGACCTAAGCATTTCTAGAGGCTACCATCAACTCAAATGTATTGCTTCAAAAATTATGTGAGACCTTTGAAATTTGTACACAGTAGTAAAATAGCCGAATATGTACGATGATCCCTTTAAGACCTTTGAAATTTGTACATAGTAGTAAAATAGCCGAATATGTTCTGATGACCCCCTTAAATATCAATACTTAACCTTTTGTGAATGTTGTAGGTAAAAAACTGGACTAGCTCCAATTATCTTGCTCTGATAAGCATGCCAAAATTCTCAAATAATTCAATTCTATAAGTTCAAAAGCTCGCAATTGTTGAAATTATCTTAAATTACTGAATTTTAACATTTGAGAATGTCGAGCTCAGAGAATATTAAAATCAATTTTATATTATTTATGTTCTGATAAGCATGCAAATATTTAAATGTTCTCACTTTTCAAAATCAAATCCAAAATATTAAAGTATACACGCTTTCGAGTAGATCGCATTTGTATATAGGGACAGATTGTGTCACGACCTAGCACGACGGCCTAGAACTACCAAAATGGGAATGAACAGTCAAACAATGAAATAAAATTCATTTCAATATCTAATGCCAACAATTAATCTTCTAAATAATCGAAAGAGCCATTGAAGAGTAAAGTTTGTTTTAGCTTAACATTAAAATTATAAAATTACCTCTCATGTTGTCTCTTCCTTTGCCTCCCACTTTCTCCATCTCTCCTCTTAAAAGCACAAAAGAGACTCTAGCCGATTTGAAATTCTTGAGCATTACAATCTTCCCTACTTAAAAAAACATCATCCTGAAAATTCACATAACATGGCTATGTTTATAATTTTTTTATTAACTAATTCTAATGGCATTTTCAATATGATTATATTACTAATCATAAAATTTGTTCGGATATTATTCTTTTCAGGACACGACCAGAGGACTTGGAATTACTAAGATGGAAATAAATGATGAAATAAAATTTAGTTCATTTAATAGAATTAGCAATTAGTCCTCCAAACAATCTAAAAAGCTAATGACATATAAAATTCTAGCGTATAATTAAAACAATTGTGAGTGAAAATTATCTCACATTTGATCTCCTCATCTCCCACTTTCTCCATTTCTCTTCTTAAAAGCATGAAATCAGCGCTAGTTGATTCATAATTCTTGAGTTTTGCAAGGTTGTAAGTTTTACATCAATCAGTCGATAAGGACGAAAGTCAACAAAATTGAGTTGGTACCAAACTAATCTAAGCCTAATCCTTACATCGATGGGAGTTGATAACAATGATACTTTGATTATAATTAATTCAAATTTCAATCAAATTATAAATGTCAATATTTTTATGTAAACCCCTATGATGGTCATGTCAAAGGTAATTGGAGGCGTTTAATTTTAAACTTAAGTTTCAAAATGTGTTTGAACAAATTCGATTAATATAAATTTTGAATTTGATACTCTATAAACAGGATAGGTTGGCAGGGCTCAAAAGAATCAGATCTCTTATAATGGTCGTGTTGACAAAAAATTTCAACCAGAAGAGTTCTTACTTTCAAATTGTCTTCAAAGTTTAATAAAACTTATTTCAATTTTAATAGTTTCAAATTTTAAATGAAATAAAAATTACTAAAAACTAAAGCAAAACTCATCCATTGTTCATATTAATTTGTAAAGGGTAACATATAATATTAACTTAAATTCACATAGAGCTAATATCATATCAAATATACTACTATATTCACGCTCAAACAAATTTAGGCTAAATCGACTTGATGTGTCGAGTCCAATGTCAACATGATTTGGCCAATCCACTTCACAAAAAGAAGTGGTAATGACCTGAGCCCTTTGACTTGATGGTTTGTCATCAAATGACGTAATTATATTATGATTACAGTTGTAGCTCGTATGTTTCCCAACAGTTTAGTCATTTGAGATGTGACTTATAAGGTATATTGATAGAACACAGTCATTTGTTATCTGAAGTTAGCTTAAATTAGTCCTCTTAAACAAATGACTACCAAAGATCTACACGATTCCCTTAGATAAAATAACACATGGCTACTAATAAAGATCATTTGGTCAAACTGAGTTGATTGTTTCCTCCGATCAAGTAGACAATGGTCCATTGTAACCTAAAATGACGGAACCCTGAAATCTTAATCAATTTTATCATCATTCATCCCCATCATATGCTCTCAAAGATTATAGTGATAAATTCTTACAAATTTGATAATATAAAACCATAATCATTTCCAGTAAACGCTACATAATTAACACCTTAAAAACCAATCATAATTGAAAGTGCACTCCCGTTATCAAGAGAGATAAATAACCATAGGGTTTTGTGTCTCTGAAAAACTCGAACAAAAATCTCAAAGTACACAAAAATATGAAGGCAATATATCTAAGTAGTGTCATATCAGCAATCTAATCTTTGATATGAAAATTTGACCCGGAAACTCAAATAAAACTCTCGTCATATCGAGAGGGGCCAGGGAGTGAATTTTTTAAGCCCACGAAATTGAACAAAAATTGGATTAATTTTATGCTTAGATTAATCCAAATAGTTAGGCTTGGCTTACTTCAAACATGAATTGAACCAAACCCTAATTGAATCAAGCTAGCTTAAGATCAAATTAAGTTCAAATCTAAATGAGAGAAAATTAGTGCAAATGAAGATTTAATCGAACCATCTTATGGCCAAGTTTACATGACTTGAGATTAGCTACAATGACTTTGACCTAGACTTGAGCCAGGGTTGAATTGCCTCAAGATTGGATCGTCACAGCCGTAAATATAATCAATCATAATTAAGTCAAATTCGAATATCTAAAAAAGATAAGTAGAACCAATTTAAAAACCTTTATTAAAGGTCTCGTGTTAAGGCTATATAGGAGAGCAGATGTTGAAAACAAAGAGGAACTCTAACAGTGGGGTTCCCTGATAGTTTATAGCATTTTACTAAGACGAGTATAGCTTAACCAAGCCTAATACAATTTCCCCTGCCAATTAAAAAGACTTAAATGGATCCCACATAAGAAGGGAATAAACAGGCTCATAAATAAGCCTGATGGGCTTTCTTTCTTTTTCAGGGAAACATCATATGTTACGTACAGATGTAAAATTTTACAGGTCACCGCAGGCAGATGTGATGAGTTTTCTTTATTATTTATAGTATTTTGTAATATAGCATTTAGCTGTTAAATTTGTTTTCCACTGTTTACTTTTACTAATATTATTATTATCTACTTCTTGTCTCTACATTTTTCTACCTTCCATCACAGAAACAATAGAAAGATGTTTCTTGCCATAGTTGCTAGTATTTTCTTCAGCAATAAACACAAAAACCTGAAAAAAAAAAAAACCTAAAAAAAAAATTCATCAACACTAATGCAACCATTAAAGTAGGCGGAGCCCTCCTGGCTAAATCCCAAGATTCACTTAACCACAGCTGGCCTTACATGGATTCAGGCAGCCCAGCAATTTAGAAAAAGAAGTAATGAAAAACAATGTGATTCCAACAATGTTGACTCAATGCTCAAAATAACCAAGTGCATATTTTTTTTTCTACTCATATATCAAGCACTAAAAAACAATAATCAAAAGAATAAAAAGAACAAAATTAGTTATGAAATGATTACCTTTAGGACTACTCCCGCGCCAAACCATACATCGCCAGAAACCTTTATACTATCAAGTTCAACAATGCTAGGGATGGACTTGAAACGAGCAAGAAAGTTAGCCACCTGAGAAGAAAAAATTAAGCATTAAATCAAATGAAAGATTCATCAACGCTTGAGTTATTATGGATTATATAATACCTTTTTAAATTCAGGTCCTAGCTCAATAGAGGGATTAGCAGGATTTTGTCTGGCTTTATTACGGACCACAAAGCCATCAACCAAAGTGTATAGATCAGACTATCAAACAATGAAATAAATGACATTAGCCAGAACATTCATTAATGCTGCATTTATTAATTTATGATCATAGAAGATGGGCTAACCTGAACTAATAGTAAATCTGATGTTGCCTTCACTGGAAGAAAACGAGATCGTGGAACATTTACTCCGATAGCATTATCAAAAAACTAAATGGCATCAAGAGGACAAAAGGTGTCAATGTTCCTGAAGTCGTCCACAATAAAATGGCTGAGAAAAAATGTATATGCAGCAGAAACATTACTCTGATTGCTGCCCCGGCCGCCGTTTCAAGTTGAAGAACCTTAATACCATCTACTTCCTGGAAGCACGAAGAATTACAAATGAACCAATGGTAATTTACAGTTTAGGATACTCAGACCAGGAAAGAAACCTACCTTGGGGTTTGGGATAATCTCCATTTTGAGAGCATCAGCTTCTACAAGCCTTTTAATGGCCTTCAAGTTTACCCACCTGGATGAATTGTATGATTGGTTTAAATTCCAAACGCCTTTTCAAGATCAAATTCATAACAATGAGATAGCATACAAGTTGTTGGTATTGAAAATCTTGAATTTCTCGATAGATTTAAATTCATTCACCTGAAAGAAGTAAGATAAAGATAAAAAAGATTTAAAATGAATTCAACCATTTTGAATGCCTATAGATTACCAAAAACATAAAATCTTGGATATAAAATTGCAGACGTCAGATGTCTCACATGCTCATCAGGAACCTGTGCAATTTCCAAAAGCTGCAAACAAAAGCAAGAAAATTTTTGTTACTATACCGGGAAGTTGTAGACAAGCAAGCTAATATCTTCATAATAGATTTAATAATTTGAAAATATAATTCAAGTAAGAATAAATATGGTAGATAGAAATTGCAGAAAAAAGTGTTTAATTCAGTATAAGTTAAGGCATTAAATAATTCACATGAAGCATAATCCAGAAGGAAACGATATGGTTTTGAATAACATTTCAGTCTCATAGTTTTAACATTTTTTGCTTTTAGGGTGTTGGTCGAAGTTTCATCTACGTTGTTCCCAGTAGTTCTTACCCTAGTTTGTGTAAATTTCATTAACGCATAAACATACAAAAAAATTGATGTAAATATAAATAAACAAATTTTCCCCACTAATAATTAAGATCGAGGATTTTTTATAAAAAAATCCATTTTATTTGAAAACTTAAAAAGCAAATAATATTTGTGTTCAAGACAACTTGGTTAAATTCTAGCAACTGACATGAAAGGACATTCCAGCACCCTCACATTATTCTGTGTAATTAATTCAGAACTAACCACTTACAAAAACCTACTTCCTATCATATTATCTAGCATCCAGTCCAGGGTCTTGAAACTAGGATTAAAGGTTCGCTTGTAAGGAAGTGATGGTATTATCTCATAAATATCGAAATGTGGCGTTCACTCATGGAGTTATAAAGGTATGTAGCAACAACTACAAAAAAATTTAAGAGATAATTACAGCTTCCTAAAAGAAAGATCAGCAATTCGTAATGTTGATAGTCATGTGATGCCATTATATGACTTGACAGATAGAGGAATGATAAGATTGATTCTATTTCTCTAATATTCTAGAATATTCTATCTAATCTTTAATAAAGGATTTTAAGATATTTGTATTAAAGGAGAATGCTCCAGAATATTAAATAGAAAAAATATAGAGTATATTTTTCTATAACGAATTATAAGAGTATAGAAGATTCTAGATTTAGTCCTTCGTACCTATAAATAGGATAACTTATTGTTGTCATGTGAGATGAAAACTACTCAGCAAAGTTTAGTGATAAAATTCTTCTTCTCTTAAAAAATTTCCAACAATCCAAATCTACGTCTTCACTCCAAAAATTTCTAACAATTGGTATCATTGCTTCGTTCGATTATTCGTTGGGCGTTCTACAATTTCAATATCTCTACAATGGCCGACTTCAACCGCTCATCTTTCCCGATTCCAATCTCCAATGGAAAAAATTATGATTTTTGTTACCTCGAAAAGAAGACCTATTGTCACTTTCAAAATTTGAAGATTGTTGAAGAAGGATTCAATACTCCGGAAGATACTTCAACTCTCTCAGCAAATCAAAAGAAGATGCTTGAAGAGAATCAACATAAGGACTCTCAAGCATTATTTGTTTTACAACTAACAATGATAGATGACATCATTCCTCGAATAATGGGCGCAACAACTACAAAACAAGCGTGAGACATGTTATGGAGGAGTTTCAAGGAACAAAGAAGGTACGCTTCATCAAATTACAAAATCTTAAATTAAGATTTTAGCGATCTTAAAATGAACGATAAAGAAACCGCAAAAGATTCCTATTCTAAGATAAAAAAGATTGTTAATCAAATGAGAGCCTATAAAGCAAACATTTATGACAAGAAATAGTAGAAAATATACTAATTTATTGTATAGAAAAATATGATAAAATAATTTATGAAATTGAAGAATGAAGGGATCTCGAAACTTTAACACCAACAGAATTAATGGGCTCTCTTGAAGCATATAAAAAAAGATTGAATATGCGAAGTGAGAATACTACAGAAAACGTATTTCAATCCAAAACAAATTTAAGGACTCGGGAATCAAAAGAAATAAAAGAAATTCACAAGAAAATTTTAAAATTAAAAATAACAAAAAAAAAAGTGACAAATATCCTCCATGTGGCATTTGTAAAAGAAAAAAAATCATTTGGAGAAAGATTGTTAGTTTAAAGGAAAACCATAATGCCAAAATTCTAAGAAATGTGGGGACAAAAAATATTTGTCGATTGAAGAAAAATCAATAAGTCAAAAAAGAGAAAAGTGAAGAAAAAAATCTCTTCTATGAGAATAAAGAAACATGGCTTCTAGATAGTGGTTATAGTAATCACATGACAAAAATTGAACAAATATTTTGTGATCTTGAAAAAATTAAGAAAAAAGGTCAAAATAGGAAATGGTGATTTCATGGAAGCAACGGGAAGAAGCATCATAGTCATTAACACTAGAAGAGGTAAGGGTTATATCAATGATGTACTCTGACTCCCAAACATCGATCAAAATCTACTCACCGTGGGTCAAATGATTGAGAAAGCATACTCTTTAAATTGTTGAAGGAGATGCTTGCATAATATATGATAAGCAGAACAATTTTTTTAAAATTGCAAATATCAAGATGAAAGAGAACATATGTTTTCCTATTCAATGAAGATACAAATAATATGGCAATGAAGACACAAACAGATGAGTCATGGCTTTGGCACAAGCGACTTGGGCACTTCAATTTCCATGAGCTGAAGATTCTCCACCAAAAAGACATGATACAAGATCTCCCTGCAATAAAAAAAAAATCAATGATGCCTATGAATGATGTTTGCTCAGAAAAAACTATCGACTGTCATTTCCTTTAGGCAAAGCATGCACAGTTAAGGAGCCATTAGAACTTGTTCACGCTGACATATGTGGACCAATGCATACTCCAACACTAGAGCAAAACAAATATTTCATCTTTTTCATTGATGAGTACATAAGAAGTATTTGTCCACATGGGTCTATTTCTTGTGAGAATGATCACAAGTATTTGAGATTTTCAAAAAATTTAAGACTTATGTCGAAAAACAAAGTGGCTACTACTTAAGACATTAAGAAGTGATAGAGGTAAAGAAAATACCTCAAATAACTTCAACAAGTTTTGTGAAAAACAAGAAGTTGAACAATAACTGACAGTTGAGTATATGCCAGAAAAAAAAACTATAATGGAAACAACTAGAACCATGTTGATGGGGTCTTCCAAAAAGTTTTTGAGCAGAAGTTGTAGATACTGTAGTCTATTTACTAATTGATGTCCAACTAAAGCGGCAAAAGACAAGACACCAATTGAATCTTAGAATGGAAAGAGAGCCCTCTGCAAAACATCTAAGGGTCTTCAGTGGCATTTGCTATGTTCACATTCCACAGGAAAAAAAAAGTAAGCTCATCATTAGTCGAGATGTGGAATTTGATGAAGATGCTACATATAATTGAGAAACAAAAAAGGTTGAAATATGGAGTGTCAACATGACGCCAATAACACATCAACAAGTTAAAGTCGTTAAGCAACCAGGATCATCAACACAAGCACCTATGCAAGAGCCAGATCAAGATGCAGACTCATGTCCAAAATCACCACCTAGAAGAACAAAAACTCTAGCAGAAATATATGGGCAGTGTAACTTGACAATCATGGAACCATAAAGCTTTAAGCCCCAAAGAAAGAAGAATGGAAAAAAAAAGCTATGGAAGAAATAAATATAATCGAGAAAAATAAGACATGGGAGCTAGTAGACTCTCTATGAGAAAAAGAGGTAATTGGAGAAAGTGGGTCTACAAGACAAAGCTCAATCCTGATAATTCAATTCAAAAATATAAAGCAAAACTAGTTGTTAAGAGATCCTGACAACAATTTAGAGTTGACTATAATGAGACATTTGCCCATTTGCACAATATGATACAATAAGAGCATTAGTTGTACTTACAGTACAAAACAAGTGAAAGATATAACAACTAAACATCAAATCTAAATTTCTAAATGGCTACTTGGAAGAAAAGATCTACGTGAAATAACCTTCGAGGTTTGCAGTACAAAGTCCAAAAAACAAAATTCTCAAGTTAAAGAAGGCTTTATATGGATTAAAAGCAAGCCCCAAGAGCTTGGTATAGTCGAATTAGCAACTACTTCATAGAGCAAGGCTTCAAGAGGAGCAAAAGTGAGCCAACATTATACATCAAGACTCAGGGTACGAACTACACTCTCATTGTCTCTCTATATGCAGATGATTCTATGTAGGAAATAATGAGAAGAAGATCAAAGTCAAAGATTTAAAAAAAAAACATGATGAAAACATTCTAGTGACCAACTTACGTCTGAGGATTATTTTCTTGGGATAGAAGTAATTCAAAATGAAATGGAGATCTTCATCTCACAAAAAAAATATACAGAAACTCTTTTAAAAAATTTTAAGATGAACAATTGCAAGATAGTCGCTATTCCACTCGACAACAAGACACTTATGAAGGATGATAATGCACTAAAGGCTGATAACACATTCTATAGAAGTCTTACTGGAAACCTTATCTAACAATGAAAAGACCAGACATCAGGTATGAACAAGTCTACTCTCAAGATTTATGCAAAGTCCATGCCAGATTCACTAAGGAGCAGTTAAGAGAGTTCTTAGATATCTGCAAAGAACAAAAAACTATGGCATCTAGTATGAATCCATTCCTAACTCAAGGCTAATTGGATATGCTGGCAGTGATTGGGCCGGATAAGTGGATGAAATGAAGGGCGCCTCAGGATATGCATTCACACTAGGTTCAAGAATATCTTCTTATGCTTCAAATAAACAAACAATTGTTGTACAATCATCAGCTGAAGCAGAATATATTGCAACAACCACAACTAAAAATCAAGCTATATGGCTAAAATATATACTAGAATATATCGGCGAGCCACAAAAAGAAGCTACATAAATCTATAGTGACAACAAATCAACTATAACAATGACAAAAAATCCTGTATTTCATGGCGGAACATAACATATCAGTATTAAATATCATTTTATTAGAAAAGCTAAGGCCAATCAAGAAATTAAACAAGCGCTACAACACTGAAGAACAACTAGGAGAATACTCAAAAGGAACTTCCAAAAGGAAAGTGTGAACTGTTATGCAATAAGATTGGAGTGATTGAAATTCGCATCAAGTATGAGTGATAAGATTGATGTTATTTCTCTAATATTCTACAATATTCTATCTTTTCTTAAGTAGAAAATTCTAGGATATTTGTATTAAATGACAATACTCTAGAATATTTAAAAAGGAAGAATCTAAAGTATATATTTTCTACAAAGAATTGTAAGAGTTCAAAAGATTCTAAATTTAGTCTTTCATGCCTATAAATAGCCATAACTTGTTGTCATGTGAGCTCAAAAACTACTTAGCAAAGCTTAGTATTAAAATTCTCTCTTCAAAAATTTCCAACAATCCAAATCTCCCTATTCTCTCCAAAAATGTCCAACAAGAAAGAAGTGTAAGGAAAAAAAATGTAATCCATAGTTCCACGTAATATGAGAATTGGCCTTCGTAACTTGATTAACTATTCAAATGATTATGCTCCTAATAGACACAATTTCTTAACACTAGGCATGATGATTATATAAGCAAATTCAGATAAAAAAGAGAAACTCTATGCTAACACTGGAAAGGGTGGAAAATGTTAATTCCATTTACCTGAACCCTTCCTTCATATGAGATTAGTGTGCCTCCTTTTACATCAGCTATGGTTTTAGGTGTCACCTGGAGGAATATATGAATAAGAAAATCAGGTCCTTCACTGAGTCCTAACATCACTGATATTTCTTTTTACCTCCATGCAGTACTCATTTTCATTGTTGATCAAATGATTTAGAATCTCTGTTATATTGCAGGACATCATATCGATTAGAAAACCATGTTTTGTTAAATGCAATGTTTAAAAAAAATCATAATATAATTGCAGAAATCATTAAAGCATACTTGTGTCTACTATAGCACCAAGGTTATCTGAGTTGGCAATGAAGACATACTCCTTTCCCTGCACCAAATAAAAAAAAAGTTCAAACAGACACATACATGTCAAATATGGCAGAAATCACTACTTGGGGAGATGCATGCATAAGGATTCATCTTGCACACTTCAAAAGAGCACACCTGAGATAGCAAGGACTCCAGCTTTCCACTGTTCACCAATGATGGGAACACATCACCATGCCCTGGCGGGTACCTTCGAGTTACAGAAATAAACCAAGTTTTATGAATTAAATTTATTGGAAAAAGCCCAAAAAACAGTATTTTTTTTTATAACAGAAGGTAGACATTACAATTACCAAGGCATTTGAGGTACTCAATTTTGCCTTTATTTTTTTTTTACACTCAAGTATTTTCATGTATTCTTCACTGAGATTTTGTTATGTGTTAGGATTATATACAATAGTTTAGGGTTTGCATGTAATCCATTTAGTTCAGTCAAGCAAGCTAGCTTGATCAAACTAATTCATCCAACTAACTATGTCAATAAAGGCAAGCCAATCAATGTCTTTCGATTTAAGATAACGGTTAAATTCGCAGTGCTAAACACAGTTTGGCCTAGTTCTCATTCCAATGCGCAACAAGCTCAAATCTATGTTTTATATCCATGCTTTACCGTGTAACAAATTCCTAATTTACAAAAATAGATTCAAGAAAAAATTAATAAAAATTAAGAACTTTTGCTGTGAGTTTACATGTTTGCTAATTTAATGGGCCTTTGCAAACCTGGATGTACTCAGTAAGAAGATAAAACTTCTTGGCCTATGAAATAAATTATTAGCAAGCCTCCACTAAGCCCCATAGGAGCTTCCACAAAACCGTAGTAGGTCACCACTATCAATGGCAATTACACACTAGCCAGTTTGAAATTCAATACGGTCCCAGATTCAGCTCCTCCTAACTATTATAGTCAGATTGAAATGATTCTTAGGCCTTTCTATCAATGATATACCATCACTTATTTAAGTTTAGATGATTCAAAATATATAAAAGAGATTCAAAATGTAAATTGCAAAATTCAATTTTTGAAATCTCTGAGAAAACTTTGGCTTGGCTATGTGGCTCTACATCGAAATCAATTTCGATCTTGTTGCTCTTCACCCATCTAAAAGATCAGCATGTAAGATCATTGAAATTTGTGCAATTTTATTTTATCATGGTTCACTAAATCTTCTAGAGAAGATTTACAAGTGCTACCTTACCCATAACTAAGGTGAGGGAATGATTACCCTTTAAAGATACGTTAGAGTATTACTCAGGTAAGAAATCCAAGATTGTGAGGAGCATATACGCATGAACATAAACTATGGTAAGTTGAATTACATACAAATTATTATGTTTTGTTTATTTTTGTACTTTACTTCTTCCCATGTTATTGTTGATCTTGTTTGGAGTTATACATTTTCGCTCTATTAAAATATTATTTGATCTCTTGATTTCTAAATAAAATTTTAAATCATCCAATTCATGTCCATTTCGGACATGGGCAAGCCAACATACCATTTTGTCAAATAGAAACTATAGAAGCATTTCTATTGTTAATTGAAAATATAGCATGCCGTATGAAATGAATGGATACAAAAAAACATGACATAATATATTAAAATTTTTCAAAATATGTAGCATATTGTCATCAATAGCCTTATTCAAACTACTCGGGGTTAGCATCAGGAACCCTTTTTCTCAATTCGACCTTGTTGATTGATGCATGAGATCTTAAACCTGTTTTGTGCAAAAGCTAAGTAACACATTTTAAAGAAGGAGAAATAAATAGTACAAAGGAGCCATGAAAATAAGAAAAACAAACATGCATCTTTGAATTTATTATGGCCGAGAAGTCTAGTAAATTGATAAAGAATTGAATGTCAAAAAAAGATAGAATAAGATAATCAAGAACCTCAGCATGCACAAATAGAATAAAAGAGAATACTCGTAATCAAAATCAATAATAATTTCAAACATCAAATCAATAATAAATCAATACAGCAACAACAAAACCTTTATCAATAATAAATCAATAATACAAATAAAAGCAATGAACCCTTATTTATGTAAATAGGTTCACAAACATAAAAGCAAACAATTTGAGATCAAATATAACCCTATCAACTGAAATTTAATCCAAAAAAATTCAAATTCAAAATAAAATCTAAGAATATCCAGTTAAAAATTAGAATAAATATTTAAATATTCTAAAATATTAAATTAATCCAAAAATAATTGGCTTGCATTGTATAAATTCACTTGACTAGAAAAGAGTTGCTCTTCGAAAGTTTGTGGGAGGTCACTATGGTGTAGGCAAAATTGGTTGGTTTTGTGGATGAAGATCTCCAAAATAGCTTTTATCCAAAAAAACTCCAAATAGAATGCAAATAAGTAGGAGGTTTAGACGATCAAGTTAAATGAAGCTCTCTGGGTGGCTTACTCAAAGTAGATTAAACCAACGACAACACCGAAGAGTTTTGGTTTCAATGGTTTAAGCCAACAACGAGTCTTTGTAACAATAATCTTAGCATGATAGAGAACACGCAAAAGTTTGGAGGTAGCACGAACTCATGTGGACAATCTCAAAGATAGGTGATACCCGTCTCCACGTGCTACTACACACTGGGGCTCACGCAAGTGCACCTGTCGCATCAATAATATCGAGTTTTAGAGTCTGGAATGTCAATCCCACAAAGAATGAAGTGATTCCAAAATAGGAAAGTTCTAGCCTACAGATTTTGTTCTTAGTTTGGCATTTAGATTGGGCTAAAGTTCTACAAACTAATCATATAGTATTGCAAGCAATTGTAAAGTTGAAATCCAACTTAACTAAGTGTTGGATTGATGAATATCAGGTTCTAGAAATACAATCCCTTATAATGATGTAAGTGGAGTACAGGAAATGTAAAGTGCAAATTGTAAATATGGCTTGTGACAAATAGGAACAACTCTCTTCTTTATCCTCTCCCGAGTGCATAAAAAAGATAGGTTAAAACGACTTTAATTCCTTAAATCCCGTTTTGAACCCATCAAAGAATATTTCCTTAACATTTGCATCTCCCTACAAGGCATATCCACCTATACCCCATAGTTTAATGTGACTAACCTAGTTGGTTCTATCAATAACTCTCCCGAGTCATTATGATTCACAACACATTTTAACATTTCACTTTGTCAGAATAAAAAGTAAATGAAGATCTGAAGGTTAATCATCACATTCAAAAATTAAAAAATAATTTCACAACACTTAACATTCCTATACATCCTACTTAATCATCGGAAGATAAGGAAAGCTACTCAAGCAATATGAGAGAAACAACACACCAAGCCATTAAAACAAGAGAATCTACTATCCAAATGTTTACAATAGAAATACAATAATAGAAACACAATAAACTTATATTACTCTCTTTTACAATGACTTGAAGATGTTTCACCATTGCTCCTCCTGACTCCTAGTTGCTGCTCCTGAAAGATCTCCCTATCCACTCCACTAGAAAAAGGAGGAGATACTATAGCAGGCTAACCAACTCACATCAATTCATCAATCTCTCCACACTTAACAACCCTAGCAACCCCGCTTCATAAATCTTTCAACAAAAACATACATAACATATTTATAAACCCAAGTACACAGCATAAAAAACCATTCCACGACCTCCTAGCAACCCCCATGACCTGCTTCCCGAACTGCCAAACTTGCACCAGGCAGTTGACAGCGCCTAGCCCAGGGGCTAGCACCTAGGCGCCAGGCTCTCGGTTTGCCCAAGGGTTCGGTGCCTAGGTGCCAGTATCGCAGCGCCTAGGCGCCAAGTGGGTGGTTCCTAAGAGTCGTCCTCTCGGTTTCACAAGGTTGAGAATGGCGCTTAGGCGCCCAAGGGTCCGGCGCGTAGGCGCCAATCTCCTTGTGCTCCTTTTGCTCCAAGTTTCCTCTACGTTTCCTTACTTTCAATACATGTTATGTCTGCAAGAAAAACATCAAAATATATTTCTTCAAAGTGCAATCACATTCATAAAAATGTGCAAATAATAAAAAAATAATAGCATTCCTATCTACACATCAAAATCTCCCAAAAAAGGTTACCTATCATCAAGTAACACCAAGGTTTAAATATCACTTTAGTTAACTTATAAGAGTGGTTTCATAGAAACTACAAACATTTATGCATCAGAAGAATTATAGTGATAAAAATATGATAACGATAGTAAACTAGTCTAGTCCTAGGGTATAAGAAACTTTGCATCCAACCAAGAAAATATGATTTTCTACTTACTTCCAAAAAGAAATTAACACATGTTAAATAAGGTACATTAGATGGTAAGTAGATAGAACGTAAGCACCCCCTTTTAGAAAGTTTGCTAATACTTCCTAAACAAAAGTAAGCTTATAAATGTAGTGAAGATTCAAATTTTTAAAAAAAATCTAGTGAAGTCAGTTTTTAATAAGGCTTCTCTCCTCAAGCATCTACTCACTTTATAATTTCTTTTCTGCTTTTTTTTTTCTTTAGGATGAACTTTTCAATCCTTAGCACACTTTTATGAGGATTATTATATCTGGTTAGGCCTTGTAATAGTTTTGAATTACATTATCATTTCCTCAAAATAAAACACACCATATTCCTCCATTTTTTTAATTTTTTTTTAAGTATTTAGGAAGTATTAGTTGAATGTATAATTTTATGGAGGCTCAATTATTGTTAATTATATGTTTAAATGCACCTAATTTAACAAATATGTAACATTTTTTAAAAATTAAGAACGTAAATCATTTTTTTGCATGTTGAATTAAACAAATAGCTCAAAAATAGTTTAGCCTAATTTATATAGAGTTTAAAATAAGTAGACTATGTTTTTATTTACTCAAAAATTGTAATAGATCAGAATTTAACCCCACATTTCTTATGTTAATTAAAAGTGGTAATTCAAACTCAATTTACTTAGGAGAAATAAGTTTAAGCTTTAAAAGAATTTTCTTTCCCCCAAACTAAATTTCAAAATATATTCAGCAATTTAAAACATAAGTGTAAATGGGAAGAAAATAGTAAAGAAATACTTCATACCAAATGTGTCTATCAACAAGATTAACAGGTATACACAAGAATAAACATGTATGAAATAGCAAGCAAATCTAAACTAAACAAAATACTGAATAAAATTAGCACCAGAAAGTCTGAATATTACAACAGGCAAATAAAATCAGTTTCATAATAT